GTAGCATGTACTGTAAATAACCAACAACAAACTTAAAACAAGTACAATAATAATGATCATAATAAGAAAATAAAAGTAATAAGCCCTGATCATGCTCTGTGTCGAGACCTGATGAAATGTTTTCAATTTTCTGGCCAAAATCAGGTGTTATTATTTTAGTTGTCTTATTTTAATTTTTTAAAAACATGATTAATGATTAAACTTTTAAAAATATTTAACTTATTGTTTTGCTTCATGATTTTTCAGATCGAGCTGCGGCAAGCCTAGTTTTTCCAAGATCGTGAACTTGCTTATAACTTAACGTAAAATTCATTACATTTGTTAATTTATCATTTAGCATCAAAGAATGTTATCAAAGTGAAAGCATAAAAATATTAAGTCCATTGGTCGTTTCCCCATCATGTATAAAATATAATATTTACCTAACAGTTATGTATTTGTTAAAAATTGTTTTTAAAAATCAACATGTTCATGAGTGTATCAATTACACATTTTGTTTTTAAAAAATAAGTGCCTTATTAATTTATTGTTGTTACAAATATTACCATGCATCCATCCCTGTGCTGTCACAGGCCATTTTATAGTCCACATAGAGTTGATGTACTGGGATATTATATTCTGAACATTTCTCTAATAGGCATCTAATGGTGAAAATCTAATCAGTCATTCATCTGTTTTATCTGAATCCACTTTGGTAGTCACCTAGTATTCATTCAATGTATGGTTGTAGTCTTTTGGCAATTAGTTTTTTGGCAGTATTTTGCATGTGACATTTAATTAGCACTGGGAATCAGTGAAATTTCCTCATCAACACCAGGAACAGAAACAGTGCAAATCCCATCTACATGCATAGGGACCAAAATTATCAATAAATTGATCGTGGGCCCTTAAGATTTAGAAGAAGAAGAAATTCCTCTGTAATTTGTGCTTTCAAGTTTGGAATCTTTCTTGTGTATTAATGGTTATTAGTGCTGTTTCCCATTCTGTTGGAATTTTATCTTCATGCCAAATTTTAGTTATAAGTTTATGTGTTTGAGTGTGTAGTTCTCTCCCTCCATATTTAATTAGTTCTACTGTTATTGAGGTCTTCTCTAGGTGCTTTGTGATTTTTTTATAAAATTGATTACTTCTGTAGTTTCTTCCAAAGTTGAGGAGTTTATTAAAGGGTCTGGTCCTCAATATAGTGGTTGATAATCTTCATTTTGTTGATTGTCTGCATTTAGTATGCCCTCAAAGTATTCAGCCCACCTCTCCAGTACTTTACTATTTTCCGTAATTAATTCTTCATCATTGCCGTCACACATCTGAGCTGTGTCTTGGTATACATTCTTTTCGTCTTTTATCTTCATTTACATTCCTCTAATATATCCCTCTCATGATAAGTTTTCTATTTCTTTTAGTTTAGCTTTTTCCCTTTCCCTTTTTTTTTCTTCCTACGCCTACACATTTTCGTGGCTTTCCTCCTGGCTTCATTGTATATTTGTCTCGTCTTTTTGATTTCCATTTGTATCATGGCCATTCATGCCTTAATGTATTTTTGAAGGGGAAAATGAAGGAAATAAGAAACATTTTTAAACAGAAGTTTACCCATATACATAGCCACTTCCTAAGAAATGATAAATCATGTACAATTACATAATTTAATGCAAACAAAAATGTATATAAAAGGATTTTTAGGAAACAATTTGTTTTTTAGGGTTTGTTTAATTTATAAAACATGTTTCCCTTGTTTTTGTTCTTCAAAAGATAAGACAACAAACAAATAACTTTTAAACTCTAGTCGTAACAAGTTTTAATAACTTGTAAGTATAAAATACTAATCTTTGTTCTAAAAGTACAAGAGCATAAGATTTTTAAACAAGTTTTTACTAGGTCTAGGTAAGCCTAATCTCTGGTGATTGGAGAGAAGAGAAAAATGAAGATTGTATAATTTATTCACGTTTAATACCTTAGCATGCTAAACTGATAGGCTATAATATATTTGTAAGTCATTATTTCTTATGTTCTTGCAGATTATGGCAAAAAAGGTGTCAAGCTTAATAAACAATCAATACTAATTTTAAATTATTATTAACACTATCATATATCTTAAATAGCTCATGTTCTGTATGTTATTATATTTCCACAAAATTATTAATATGCATTTTATGTTCTATGTAAAATACAAGAGAACCAGATGATTAGATTTGCAGTTTCTGTTTATTTATTTTTTCTAACATAAAATTTTGAGTGGATTAATTGCTAATGACAAAATAATTAAAATCATGCTTAGTCTAATATTTTTCTACTAAAACTTAAACATTTTTACATTCTTAAATTATATCATGTTGATGCTTGTAGGCCAACATGTCAATAGGCATTCATAAAAGTATATCACAGATAAATAATTTAATTAATTATTAGGTTCTAGTGCAACAGTAAAAATCGATTGTTGGTCATTTATTACAAACAGGTCTGTTCATAAAATAAAAGCAGAAGTAATGTATTATCTTAAACCATATCATATTCTATTTTTTGGTTTAAAAATAAAAGTAAAAACCATAATTATTTTTAAAAAAATCATTTTATCATTGTTAAGAAAAATGTGATGAATTATTTATTCGCTATCTCGAAGTAAGCACCATAGAACATAATATAGGTTTTACCAGGGCCAGATTTAAACATTTCTAAGTCCTAGGCAAAATCATATAATTATGTACCCTCCTCCCCCACCAAAACCCCCCAAAAAGTTTGTATTCTTCTGTATATACCTGCTGCGCCATGACCTAGGTTGGCTCTATCATGCCCAATGGGATATCCAACTCTGGTTATTACTGTGTAAGAATTATTTCATTCCTGACTTTTGAAGAATTTAATGCCTTTACACAGGATGAGATTGACACTGTCATTAGATTTCCTGTGGAAATATAAATAAAAACAGACACAAGTTTTTTTTTTAAAATTGAATGTCATTCACCCGAATTCCAAAGAGAATATCTAAGTAATCTGTTAGAAAATACAATCATTAATCATCTCATGACTATGATTAAATCATTTATTATTACTAAGCTTTTCAGAGATTTACAACCAAAAATAAAAAGACATTGCCCTGAAGGTAGATGTAAGTGAGTAATATGAACGTAATTAGTCTTGCTGTCCCCCAATTAACCAATAGGCCTAAACAGAATGGGATAGGTCAACCGAAAGGCAAACTAGAGTGAAATCAACTTGATAGCCTACCTATTTTATTGTGCTATTACTATTAGTGATGCTAAAACACTTAAAAAACAATCACACAAAAAATTTTGAATTTGATATTTGATTAAATTATTTGATTTGCAGTCCACTGGACATCAGGATCCAAATCATTTTTTGACATACATATTTTTAAATTAAATTTCAAAGTTAATGAATTAAGCTAAAAAAAGGTTCTTTCAGTGTGATTTGATATGGAAGAGTTTGTAGCGGTTCCTGTTGGCAACCAAACGCAAAAAAGACTTGCAAGTTGAACAGCGCACCCCGCATTACCTGAGCATCCTTCTCTGCAACATCTTGAAAAAGCATTGAATCAACATCTGGAATTGCAGGGAGATGGGCAGCTTGTTGATAACGAAGATCTGGATTGGGCACAAGGACTCTTTTTTCCCTTTATCTTTTTTCAATCCTGACTTCATCAGATGAAGGAGTGCTGTTTTTCTAATACATACTTTTGAAATCAAATAACTTGCAGGTCTTTTGTCAGGCTTAGTTGCTCCATGTCTTCTTAGTATTGAAACCATGAATTGACAGTAGCTAGGTCCAACATATGGATTAGTACCATGATAGGCCATTTGGACGTTCTGGCTCGAGTCGTATAATAGCTCAGAAGTGGGTCACACAAGTCGACACCTCCCATGTTGTGACTATACTGTTTTATTAAAAATGGACGCTGAACCTCTATATGATTTTTTTTTTTTTTTGAACAACGTAAACACTGGTCAGTTTGAGCAGCACCTTCTTCAGTAGACAACAAGTGAACAGATTTATTATCCTTCCATTTTATAAGCACCGCAGGAAAGTTATTGTTCAAAAATTGAGCATCAGCTCCTCTCCCTTATTTGCTTTGGTCCTTATCGGTAGGAAGCTTTCTTTTTAGGTCTTTGTGGATTCTATTTGCCATAATAGTTCCTGTTGCTTTAAAGTTCTTTTTATACAGATTCTTCTGAAGGGATGTTGTAGTAAAATACCTATCAAAGTACAGTACATGCGGCTGCTCTAAAACATCAATTAATTTTAAATCTGCCTGGCCTCCTAATCCTAGGCCGGAGTTGTCTGGTTTATATGTCCAAGCTCCTTGATAAACACGGAAATTGATGACTTTTACAGATGGGTATGTTATAATAAATACGTTGATGCCAAAAGGATTAGGCTTGTTTGGCATATATTGTCTAAAGCCTACCCAACCGTGAAAGGTTATAACATATGATCGTCAATGCTGAGAGTTTTGCTTCTTGTAAGTGCGTGACACACCCTCAATCAAGACTCAAGATGCTATCCTAATTTTGCGGCACTCTCCAAAGCTTATTCTCTTTTCTTATTTCATCAGGAATATCTAGATCATTTAGGAGTTTTAACGGTAGTCTTAAAAAGAAGTATATGTCTCGAACCCATTGAATTTTGAATTTGAATCTGCAATGCATGACACACCAGTCAAAGTTGCCCAGTAAATTCGACCCCTCATTCGTATTGAGGATTTGAGTAATTGAGGGATACCTCAACTTCAAGCCTCAGGCAAGACATCACCAATTCTTTGATTCAGACAATTGTGAATAAAATAGAATAATTTAATTTAAACGCCGTCTCTCTTTCTCTCCCTCTCTCTTCCTTTCTATCTCTTTCGTTCTCTATTTTACTTTGGTTTCTTGAACTCTGGCACAGCAACATTTACAATCGTTGTCAAGGAAAGCTGGGGGAAAAAAAATATTTATTTAAGGGGGACTACTCTTAACTGTTTATAATTATATATTTCGAAAGTAGGATACCTGAAAAGTGATTCTTTTTTATTGCAAGGTTAGATTGTGTATATGATTATGTAAACATTTTTTTACGTGGATCTCCTTAAAGTCAAAGAATCATTAAAAGTTGACCATAAATAACTTTTGCAGACCAACCATTGTTAACAGCTTTACACTTTAAAATAACCAAGTTAGTGTCCTAGCCTGTAGAGTAGGTAGTGTGACTTAGACTTAAGTAAGACAGACTAGACACTTAAGTTAATTTAAGTAACTGAAACAGGAGTCACTATACTATTACTATTACTAATTACTTCTCACTCCACTGAACTGTGAGTACTGTGACTGTAACACTGAGTCGAGTGAGTGTGTCAAGTGTGTAACTATTAAAATTATAGTATGTCAATGTCATCTGTGTCAGCGCTGAATCAATATGTGTTGACTGGTGTGTACTTGTACAGTGTCAATTAAATCAGTGTGTGAAGGCCTGATTAAATATGTGTTTTCTTAGTGTTCGGGATTATTATTGAAAACCTGTGGAGTGACACAAAAAGTTAAAAAGGGATAGTCACATACATTTTTATTTATTGTTCATAAAGAACACAATTAAATTAATATATATTTTTTTTATCTCGTGTTTTGTTAGTAACACAGACTAGACTTGAAAGCTCCACTTCTTTATTATTATTAGTTATTATATAAATTATAATCAATAATCTATTACAAATTATAATAAAACTTAACTACTAATTAATTAGCCTAATTTTATTATTAAATTAGTTTATTAAACATGAATCTTTTATTTGCCAAGGCCAAGGCTATTTTCATTTTCTTCACTAAACCGTGGCTAGCAATTCCTTGACCTCAAATATGAACGTATAAATTTTAACCATTAATTAATTAATTAATTTAATATAATAAACATATAATTCTCAATGTAACATTTCACTGATTTCACTAAATAAAGATACGGATTACTGTGCTATATGAGATTAATAAAATATAAGTGTGTGTGTTTGGAGTGTAATAAATTATTTTTACTGATATAATCTGATATAGTATCAATTTAAATTAGGTGTAATAGATCTGCAGTATATATATATAATAAGGGGGTGGGAAATTTGAATATTAATATAGTTCAGGGGCTTAAAAAAAGTGTGTTGTTGCAAACCTTGGAAGGGGAGGGTTAGATGGAGCACTAATTGGAATTCTTATAAAGTGGGTTACTTGAATGCATTTTTTGTCAAGTAACTTTAGTTGATGGTAAATTCACGTAATGCGGCTGCCATTGTTTGGCAGGGTGTAGCTAGAAATCTCTTATGTTAATTTTGCTTCTGGTGTGTTCTGCTTTCTTTTCAAAACCACCCTACCCCCTACTCCACATGTTTTATATTGACAGTACTGAGTGGAAAAAAGGCTGTCATGCGTGACATGTGAATGTGAACTCAGGTAAAAAAAATTCTTAATGGCGAGGCGAATATTATATTAATCAATAAAGATCCATAGGTATGTTGTGGACTGTCAGTAGGACTACTGTTTAAAATCCAGCAGGTTGGGTGTATGACTGTCTGTGGGCCTATTGTTTAAATGCCAACAAGAAGGGTGTAGGTCTGTAGGTAGGCCTATCTCAAAATACCCATACGGGTGTAAAAAAAACTCCACTTGGTTAAGCCCTAGTAAATAATATTGTATCAGTTTTACTTTTTAAATTTTATTTTAGATGTGTTTGTCAGACTTATCTTTTCCACTTATTTGAACTACTCAAATCAAATGAATGACTTTACCAGTTATTGACAAAATTATAGTCAAGTCATCATATGTGAAATATTCATTAAATAATAAAACAAACCGGCCTTCAATGATTTTTATTTCCAATATTTACCAGTGCATTTCACACAATGCAGTGCACATTCAAGATTGGAAGAGAAACTAAAAGCTTGTGCCAAAAAAAAATTATTTCACTGTTATCGCCAGTTAAAGAAAAATCAATCAGCTTCTGTGCAAAACACTTGGCATTCAGATGCTTAGAAAAGAAATTAGATAATTTTAAACACTCTGGAGGTTTGATGAAGACTCATCACTGCAGCGCAGGATTTCAAAGCAAGTTCACAGTTCTTCCAGGAGAAGTTGACCGCTACCAGGGTATATGGGTTGATTTAACCAAAATAGGAGAACAATTAATTTCAAAGAATACATTTCCCAGCACTTTAGAAGGTATTTACAAAAATTTTGACTTTATTAAAATTCTTTGTGATAATACTCCCCTCACCCATGTGTTTCTTTTACAATTTGTTGATGATTATTCTTTTGAGCCTTAAGAACTCATTATTTTACATTGACATTAAACTTTTTAATCCTAGTTTTTGGTTTTTTTTTAGAATTTGATATATTTTTAAAAAATAGCATAAAATGATGTTATAAGAGTTAAGACCTTTCAAAGACACTTTTAAAAATTAGATTATTTCAAAATCAAAAATTATTTATAATTTTAAATATTAACATTCACAGAGATTATTTATACTTTTTAATACTAATTATTCTTATGATTAATAAACAGTAAGTCTTACATTTACAAGAACAGGACCAAACTGTCAACAACAACAAAAATATTTAAAAATTTTGTTTGCAGAAGATGTTAATTTGGCTGTTATTAATATTAATTTTTTTAAATTTTTACTTGACTTTTTTAAAACTAAGGTTGAGAATAGTATGATTAGCAAAAGTATTTAAATGTTATCACTTACACTAAGTAGAGTATTATCACATATTTCCCAGCCTCCCTGAAGCTATGGCAGATACAAGGCATAACATCAGCCTGGTTAAAGGTGTCCATCTTTCAGAGTGCTTTAATAGCTGATGCCGCCGAGCATGGCTTCACATTCCACCATGCTGAGGGATCAATTGCCACCTTAAGCTTGTGGATGGATAAGTCCAAAAAAACTAAAATACCCAGGTTTGCAACTCATCAAATGGGTGTGTCAGGTATACAAAAAAAAAATTGCTTGTTTCAATTTGATATCTTTAGTTTTAATGAAGAAAGCTGATCATAAATAATTTGACTGTGTTTTTAAAAAGTTAACTTGCTTCATTGTAATAGAATTTTAAAAATTTATCTTAACTTGATTAGTGTAGCAATAATGATGAATGGAAAAATTCATTAATAAGTTTATATTTCTAGGTCTGAAGTAAAAATTCCATGACCGCAAGGGGTAAAAAATAAGTTAAAGAAAAATTACTGTATTACGATAAGGTATATATATAAGAATGAGCTAAGGTATCCATATAACGCTTAAGAAACAAATCAATTTAAATATGCTCGGATGCTTAAAAACCTAGATAGTGGTTTTCTAATTTTTACTGAAATCAAATGAATTCTATATGATAAAAATAAAATATTTTTACTTATATTTAAGTAAATGTTTAAGTAGTAATATTGTATATTGGGAAAACATTTAATAAAACAATTAAAGAACTATTTTAACTATTTTATCCGAAATTGAATCTAAAGATATTATTTTTGTTATCAATAAATAATCATATGTATAATACTATTTTTAATTCGTAAATACATTCATCAGGAATATCCAAGCATCTGTTGTTTTTATTGCATTGTTAATATTTTTAAATCCAATTTAAATGTATGTTATAAAAATGTATTGAAATAATCAAAATTTTGGATTGAACTCAGATAAAGAAAAATTTGATTAATTTCGTAAGCGCTAAATTTTGACTAGCAAAGCAAAAGATTTAATTTTGCTTGATTTAATTACAGCATATGACAAAACTGATGATGTTGATGTATTTCCCACTTTTTAAAAATAAAATTAATAAATATAATTGATTGCTTTTTAAATTGTTCATAAACCTCACCAAATTTTAGCTTTGTATTTTTAACATTCAAAAAGTTTTACTTATTTTTCACTCCAAAATTGTGCTTATATGAAATTTATAAATTGATACAAATTTAAAAATGAAAAATACTTTGAAAAATACATACAATAAAATGCAATTCAGGCCAAAAGTTCATCAAAACTTCATAGCCAGATACTAATTCACTTACCACTCATCCAAATGAGAACGAACAACTGATGTTTTAATTGGTTCATTTTGTTATCAATATCTCAAAATCAGATTATTTTACAGATAGGAATTTTGGTACAGATTTTAATGTTAAAATAATAACCATAATCTTTCAATATACTAATTTATGTGTAGAACTATTATTTTAGAAAATATAAAATTATCATTTATGATTTTATTATTTTTCATTTAAAACTGTGGGGGAAGGGGGATAAGATACTTATATTTTTCCGAAGTAACACAAGATATGCCTCAGAATAAAGTAATGAATTTGATAAATAATATACCTTCTTAAGTTAGTATATATCGAGGGTAGGGTGTGTACATTTTTATGTGGATGACAATATCTTAAATCCAATGATATTACCGTTGCGAAGAAGAGATTTTAGATTATTTTCATATTACATTTGTTTGCAGGTATGGTAATAAATAATGACACACATGAAATTCTTGTTGTGAAAGACAAAAACAGACCAGTAAGTGTGTTTATCATTTCTAATAATTTAATAGTGCTTTGTAGATGCTGACCGAATTTTGGTTCGGCTCCGAAAGTTGCCATTTCATCATTTTCGGTGTTGTTTTGGTTTCGTCTGATACAGAAAAGTTAACTTTCTGATGATTTTCGGTCTTGGCCAAAAGTGAGTTAGGCTTTTGGTCATCTACCAGAAGTCAGACCGCCGCTGTTTCTGTCTGTCGGTGGGATTTCAATATTTATTATTGCTCAAAATCTTGCTGTCATGGTATGATATATGACTAATCCTCTGCAAACATTGCTTACAGCCACATGATGATCTAATTGTACAATATTTCCACACAAAAAAAGACAGGCTTAGGCAAGGTAAATGGTTTTGTGAAAAATGAAACTAAGAGAATGGTAAAATTTGTATTATTATTTTGTTTTAATAATTTTTTTAATATAAAATTTGGAACCCAAGGTTTATTCAATTTATTCATTTGTGATATCTATTTTGATTTATCATTATCATACTCATAAATTTTGTCAAACGCAAAGGTTAATAATGCAGATAAACTCTTGTTTCTGAATTATAACATTCGTTTGTTTGATTTAAATTACTAAACAATTATTGCTGAATGAACTGACATTTAGCGACTCTTACTGCAAGTGTAGGATTGTAATGATTATTTCTAGATTAAGTATTACTTACTAATTATTAAAGTATTGTTGATAGTGTTGAATTTTTTATAGCATCATTGTTTGAGGACATAGTTTTATAACTTGTGCTTAGTTATAAAATAGATATATGTTTCAGGTCAAGGGTCTTTTTAAGCTGTTCTTTACAGTTTTTACCAAAATTCATTGTTAACTTTCGGTTTGGTTTCGGTTTCGGATGAAACCAAAAAAGCAACATTCAGTTGGTCTCTAGTACTTTGTATTACTTTGTTTTATTTTTTTGTTTGTCATTGCACCAATATGAGTTAGTTTAATTTTATCAACAACAAAAAAGATATGTATGAATTTTGTTGTTGTTGATATACATGTTGGATAATGTCAGGTGATGCGAGATGATGTTAGGTGATGTTAGGTTATGTTAGGTGATGTTTGTTGATTTTAGGTGATGTTAGAACTTAACAGTGAGCAAATTGACTTGTAAAAATTAAACATTTTAAAACCTAAACCCTTAATTACTTTGATTCTTTTTAGATTCAAGGACATTTCTGGTAAGTTTGAATGTTCAAGATATTAGCATCAATACTGTAAGAGATTTTTTTACCTTGTCTTTACAGTACCAACTATGGAAGTTTCCTGGAGGGCTATCTGATCTTGGCGAAGATATAGGTAACTATTTATGAGATGTAGGTAACTATTTATGAGATATAGGCAACTATTTATGAGTTATAGGTAACTATTTATGAGTTATAGTCGACTATTTATGAAATATAGGTAACTATTTATAAAATTAAAAATCTATTTTGAAACAAAAATAAAATGATGTGAATAGCTCTGCTTACTAATTTTCTTTAAAATGGAATAATTCCATTTTTTGTTTTTGTTTTAAGTTTGGTTAAGTCCATATTATTTTATCACCTGTATTACAGTTAGCATAAGTCATTCAATATATAGTATACAATTATTTTATGAAAGTTTGAGTTCATGAAAATTTGTATTAATTTTGTCCCTGGTATTTCTGAGAAGAAAACATTCGTTTGCCTCCTTTCTTATTAAAGATAACATTTTAATGTTAGGTAACTTAATCTGTATAGTATTAAAATAGTTTTTAAAAAAATGTGAGCTGTCGATATTTATTAATAAGCTTCTCAGTTGGTTTATACATTGAACAAAAGGAAACATGCAAAAGCATTCCAGAAGTTGATCCTAAATAATCATGACATTATCCCAATTTAGTGGGGGCTAAATAAAGGTTTAATTTGATTTAAAAAAAAAAAAACTAAAATAATTTAATTCAAACTCTTTAATTACTATTAATAAGTGTTGAAGGTGTGTTGAAAATGTTGATGACCACCATTTTTATCTTTCATTCCCAGCCACCACTGCTGAGAGGGAGGTTTTTGAAGAGACAGGTGTCAAAACTGGTACGCTGTTCTCTGTGTTTGATAGTCAATGTATTGAAAATGTAAATTTATTTTAAAAGGTTGGTATCAAACCAGATCAAACTAGTCTTTGTGTTTATGTTCATTAGGGATAGAAGAACAAGGTGTGTGGAAGCTAGAACTATAATGACAGGACATTAAGAGAAGGACATTTCGGTCAATAGCCTTCCTCAGCAGACGGGACAAATTAAGAGACAACAAGAAATAGATAGTGGTTAAAAAACTTAAGTGTTTCTTTTAATATCAAAGAGGGGCCTCACATGTATTAGTCAAAATGTGTTGTATAGGCGAAACTGGAAGAAGATTATCCGATAGGCTCACTACACATCTTTGTGATACTGAACAGGACAAACTTTCCCCGGCCTCATCCCATTTCAGTGGAGATAAACACAACAAGACATCAGATGTCTGCACTCTGCACTAACACACCAGTGAGAGTTAGATAGGAAAAAAATTAGTTCAGCTTTCCTGCACAGTATCACAATCAAAAGGAAATTAATCAAATTCTCTCTTACCTGTGATCCTCAATTTCCTTGTTATTTCTTTTCTTATTTCTTATGTTTTACATATTTCTTAAAAACTATTGTCCGCTAAAATCATTTTTTTTACTGTAATAATGGAAAAATTCTTTTAACTTCCTGTAATCTTAGTTTTTGAAAAACGCTACTTCCGACATTAACATTTATGGCGACCACTTAAGTTTTTTCAACTGCTTTCTATTTCTTGTTGGTTTTTTTCATTTATCCTGTCTGCTGAGAAAGACTTTTAGCCGAAATGTTTTTGTTTTATTTTCCTGTCTCTTCTTTCTTTTTCAAGCTTCCACATTCCTTGTTCTTCTATTTCCTTCATTAAGGTTATCAATTTTTTAAAATTTTTTTTAGGATTGAGGCCTTTAGTCTGTAATTTATTTGTGGTATACTTCCATATATATTCGAAACTTTTCTTCAGATTAATTATGGTTTATTTATCTTTTTTAACTTGATTTTGTCATTGTTTTTTCATAATTTAAATATTTAAAAATAAATTAACACTCTACCATCAGATAACATGAAGAAACACTGACCTTATAATCAGCAGCTTTTTTTGCTTGATTTCGGAGACTCTCTGCCACTTATCTTGTTTGTGACACTTTCTTTCAAAATTGGTAGTTAACATTTTTTCCACATCACAACTTTGGACCTTTTGAATTTCCGAGGCCCTTTGCAGCTGCTGAGCTGCAGGGCAGAGGTCAGGGCTCTGATGGCTTTTATTGATTACCCAATGGGAATGAAATACTTAAAACATGATTCTTATTTTAAAAAAATAGTGACGGTAAACTATTATGTTCCGGTCATTCAATTGAGCCAGAGTAACGAAAACTGTTATGTCACGGTCATTCAATTCAGCGAGAGTGATGTCAACTGTTATGTCCCTGTCATTCAATTCAGCCAAAGTGACGTAAACTATTATGTCCTGGTCATTCAATTCAGCCAAGGTGGCGTAAACTATTATGTCCCGGTCATTCAATTCAGCAAAGGTGACGTAAACTATTATGTCCTGGTCATTCAATTCAGCCAAGGTGACGTAAACTATTATGTTCTGGTCATTCAATTCAGCGAGAGTGATGTAAACTATTATGTCCCGGTCATTCAATTCAGCCAATGTGACGTAAACTATTATGTCCCGGTCATTCAATTCAGCCAGAGTGATGTATACTATTATGTCCCGGTCATTCAATTCAGCCAATGTGACGTAAACTATTATGTCCCGGTCATTCAATTCAGCCAGAGTGATGTATACTATTATGTCCCGGTCATTCAATTCAGCCAAGGTGATGTAAACTGTTATGTCCTGGTCATTCAATTCAGTCAATGTGATGTAAACTATTATGTCCCGGTCATTCAATTCAGCCAAGGTGACGTAAACTATTATGATCCAGTCATTCAATTGAGCCAAGGTGACGTAAACTGTTATGTACCGGTCATTCAATTGAGCCAAGGTGACGTAAACTGTTATGTCCCGGTCATTCAATTTAGCCAATTTGACGTAAACTGTTATGTCCCGGTCATTCAATTCAGAGTGACGGAGAACATAACTAAAATTTCCAGTAATGCCACATCAGGGTGGAGCATTGTCTTCTCTGGACGTCTCTGTTCACTCGGGACGTGTTTGCTCAAAGTCCGTCCACTCTGCTCCAGTGGATCTGATTGATTGACTTGCACGGCCAGATTCCGCTCCCATTACAGAAGCCACGCGCCAGCAACGAGCCAACGTTTGCGTTAGGCAAACTGTACCCGGAAATGTAAGGGTCCACTTGGATTGCTCACGCTTGTTCCACCTACGGGTAACTGCCGGAGCTAAGTCGGGCACCGGGGGGGGGGGGCTGTTAATTCTGGTACGAGAGTGGGGTGTTAAGTCTGGCACGTCTCGTTGCCACGTAGCAAACATAGCCCAAGCGAATAATATATTTTAGAACTTGGTTGAACTGTGTTTCGGCAGTAACCTGGCCAGTAACGGAAGTACGAGACGTTGCTGTGTCAATAACGGTCCATATTATTTGTCTCAGTCAGACGCACCAGCCCCGCCGCCTTTAACCCCCCCCCCACTCATGTCTCATCGATCAGATACGTAGGCTGGTCATCTCCTCATTGGCTGGTGCAATATCTCCTCTGTGATTAGTCAAATAAATACCGGTCCATATTATTTGTCTCCGTCAGACGCCCCAGCCCCGCCGCCTTTAACCCCCCCCCCCACTCATGTCTCATCGATCAGATACGTAGGCTGGTCATCTCCTCATTGGCTGGTGCAATATCTCCTCTGTGATTAGTCAAATAGCCTCTCTGGGTTAAAACTGGTGTTAGTACTGTGGTCACTCCAAAACTCCTCTGGGAGTACAAATATCCTCTGCGGCTTTTACAATATCCCCTCTGGGGTTTGTACAATAACTACTCTGGGGTTAGTACAATAACTACTCTGGGGTTAGTACAATAACTACTCTGTGGTTAGTACAATAACTACTCTGGGGCTAGTACAATAACTACTCTGGGGTTAGTACAACAACTACTCTGGGTTAGTACAATAACTACTCTGGGGTTAGTACAATAACTACTCTGGGGCTAGTACAATAACTACTCTGGGGCTAGTACAATAACTATTCTGGGGTTAGTACAACATCTCATTTACAGCTACTACATCATCTCTTGTGTGGTTACCGTTCCTTCAATGTTGCATTCCTTATTTCAGGTTTTCCGATACTTTGTTTTACTCATTTCATTACCTACCCTCCCTCCCACACCCACACCTGATTGCAGTCTCCCCCCCCCCCCCAATTACCATATCTTCAGTTATCCGGCGATGATATTAGAGTTATCTTTAGTTACAAAGATGATGTGAGAGATGTCTTTAGTTAAAAGATGATGTTACAGATGTCTTCAGTTAACATGCGATGTTAGAGACGTCTGCAGCTACAAGATGATGTTAGGGATGTCTTCAGATACAAGATGATGTTAGGAACGAAACTATAGTTAAAAGATGATGTTAGAGACGTCTTCAGTTGAAAGATGATGTTAGAGACGTCTTCAGTTACACCCCCCACGATGATGTCTTCGCCGACTCATCGATCAAACATAGACAAGTCGTATACTAACAGGGTTAGGCGTGGCCACTTGGATTCGACACCCCTCTGGTTGGATCTTACCCCTCCTTCCCACCACGCTAGTCCACGCAGACCCCATGCTTTGGTTTATTGAAGTAGCGAGAAACCAAACGATCACATCACCAACTGGTTTTCTTTTATTTCTGTTCATGTGCGGGTTTTATTTTGGGGTTGTTTTCTTGTTGTTGTTTTTTTCTACAATTTTTTAAAAGTTTAATTGTGAGCTGTGCTGATGCCACCTGAACTTTAAATGGTTTATTGCAAATTGTAGACTGTTTGTAAACTGTAGCCCCTTAAGTCGAGTTGGTTATTGTAGACTGTTGTAAACTGTAGCCCCTTCAGTCGAGTTGGTTATTGTAGACTGTTGTAAACTGTAGCCCCGTAAGTTGAGTTGTTTATTGTAGACTGTTGTAAACTGTAGCCCCTTAAGTCGAGTTGGTTATTGTAGACTGTTGTAAACTGTAGCCCCGTAAGTTGAGTTGTTTATTGTAGACTGTTGTAAACTGTAGCCCCTTAAGTTGAGTTGTTTATTGTAGACCGTTGTAAACTGTAGCCCCGTAAGTTGAGTTGTTTATTGTAGACTGTTGTAAACTGTAGCCCCTTAAGTTGAGTTGTTTATTGTAGACTGTTGTAAACTGTAGCCCCTTAAGTTGAGTTGTTTATGTAGACTGTTGTAAACTGTAGCCCCTTAAGTTGAGTTGTTTATTGTAGACTGTTGTAAACTGTAGCCCCTTAAGTTGAGTTGTTTATTGTAGACTGTTGTAAACTGTAGCCCCTTAAGTTGAGTTGTTTATTGTAGACTGTTGTAAACTGTAGCCCCTTAAGTTGAGTTGTTTATTGTAGACTGTTGTAAACTGTAGCCCCTTAAGTTGAGTTGTTTATTGTAGACTGTTGTAAACTGTAGCCCCTTAAGTTGAGTTGTTTATTGTAGACTGTTGTAAACTGTAGCCCCTTAAGTTGAGTTGTTTATTGTAGACTGTTGTAAACTGTAGCCCCTTAAGTTGAGTTGTTTATTGTAGACTGTTGTAAACTGTAGCCCCTTAAGTTGAGTTGTTTATTGTAGACTGTTGTAAACTGTAGCCCCTTAAGTTGAGTTGTTTATTGTAGACTGTTGTAAACTGTAGCCCCTTAAGTTGAGTTGTTTATTGTAGACTGTTGTAAACTGTAGCCCCTTAAGTTGAGTTGTTTATTGTAGACTGTTGTAAACTGTAGCCCCTTAAGTTGAGTTGTTTATTGTAGACTGTTGTAAACTGTAGCCCCTTAAGTTGAGTTGTTTATTGTAGACTGTTGTAAACTGTAGCCCCTTAAGTTGAGTTGTTTATTGTAGACTGTTGTAAACTGTAGCCCCTTAAGTTGAGTTGTTTATTGTAGACTGTTGTAAACTGTAGCCCCTTAAGTTGAGTTGTTTATTGTAGACTGTTGTAAACTGTAGCCCCTTAAGTTGAGTTGTTTATTGTAGACTGTTGTAAACTGTAGCCCCTTAAGTTGAGTTGTTTATTGTAGACTGTTGTAAACTGTAGCCCCTTAAGTTGAGTTGTTTATTGTAGACTGTTGTAAACTGTAGCCCCTTAAGTTGAGTTGTTTATTGTAGACTGTTGTAAACTGTAGCCCCTTAAGTTGAGTTGTTTATTGTAGACTGTTGTAAACTGTAGCCCCTTAAGTTGAGTTGTTTATTGTAGACTGTTGTAAACTGTAGCCCCTTAAGTTGAGTTGTTTATTGTAGACTGTTGTAAACTGTAGCCCCTTAAGTTGAGTTGTTTATTGTAGGCTGTTGTAAACTGTAGCCCCTTAAGTTGAGTTGTTTATGTAGACTGTTGTAAACTGTAGCCCCTTAAGTTGAGTTGGTTATTTTAAACAAAAACACTGCCACCAAAGGCAAAACCCCCAGAAAAATGTCTCCCCATCCACAAAAAAAAAAAAAAAAAAAAAAATGAGCCGCTCCTTCCCCTTCCTAAGAATAGTTGTTTAAGACATGTGGCCTAAGACTAGTGACCTAAGTATAGTTGCTTAAGACAAGTGACCTAAGTATAGTTGCTCAAGACAAGTGACCTAAGTATAGTTGCTTACGACAAGTGACCTAAGACTGTTGACCTAAGACTAGTGGCCTAAGAATAGTTGTTAAAAAATGAGGACTAAGACTTGTGTACTAAGTATATTTGCGTAAGACAAGTGACCTAAGACTGGTGACCTAAGAATAGTTGGTTAAGACATGTGACCTAAGACTAATGACCTAAGAATAGTTGCTTAAGACTGGTGACCCAAGAATAGTTGCTTAAGACAAGTTACCTAAGTATAGTTGCTCAAGACAAGTGACCTAAAAATAGTTGCTTAAGACAAGTGACCTAAGACTGGTGACCTGAGACTAGTGGCCTAAGAATAGTTGGTTAAAAAATGAGGACTAAGACTAGTGTACTAAGTATAGTTGCTTAAGACAAGTGACCTAAGACTGGTGACCTAAGTATAGTTGCTTAAGACTAGTGACCTAGGAATACTTTGTTAAGACGTGTGGCATAAGACTAGTGTACTAAGTATAGTTGCTTAAGACAAGACTAGTGGGCTAAGAATAGTTGGTTAAGACGTGTGGCTTAAGAATAGTTGCTTAAGACTAGTGACCTAAGACGAGTGGCTGAGACAAGTGATCTGAGACTAGTGGCCTAAGACAACTGAACTAAGACTAGTGTCCTCAGACTAGTTGTTTAAGTCTCGTGGCCTGATCTCCGTGGTATTTTTTCGTGCATCGACACCCTAGTTTACTAAAGGGTCCGTGGAGTATTTCAATCTGGGGTGGCCAACCCGCGGGCTGCTGTTTAAAAGGAAACGAAAGGCTTCAGTGCGGTAACCCATATGCGTGTTCCATTTGGTTTGCCCGCATTGAATGTCAGCCGCCCATGGGAGCCGGTCAGGCAGAAGAGACCCATGCACTGTAACACCTCTCTACGGGTTTTACCAATCTGCTCAATATTCTCTCCATTCCCAGAATTCCAGTCAGTTCTAGCCTTCAGGCAACAGCACAACAGCCCCGGGGCGTTCGGAAGATCTGATCTTTATGTTATATGCAGGTCAAATATACATTGTCCATAGTAAATTAGTTTGACTTTAAAACTTTAACAAAACAATTAATAAGCTTATTTTTGTACAACAATGGGTTGATATATTTAAAAAATTATTCTTGATTGAAGAAATCAAATAAAAACGATTGAAACTTTTTTTCTTCCTGTAGTTGTAGAAGTTATTATTATTTTGTTTACAAGGTTGAAGCCCTTAACCTTTGACCTCCACCCCTGTGATGAAGAAATCGCTGCGTGTCGATGGATGCCGGTGGATCAACTAAAGACGGAAGTCCAAGCTACGTCACTAACTCACACTATGGCGGAGTTGGCCATACAAGGACTGGAGCATGGCTTTAGTCAAGTGGACATAATCTCCTATCAGATGGCTTCCATTTACAAAGGAATGAAATTTCACATTTTTCTTAGAGCTTGTAAATAAACTGCATGTTAAAAAATCTAATTATTTTGTCAAAATCTTTGTTTTTTTTTATTTTGTAAAATATATAT